CATGGTATGTTGAAAATACTATGCTAAAGAATCTTTTGGCAAAGATGCTCAGACAGTGCACCATTTCCATTGGATTTCTAAAGTGGGTATCCATGCATCTGTGACCCACGAGCCCTTTTGCATCAGAAAAGTTTGAGAACATTGTTTCAACTTCTTCAGTTGAACAAAAGCAGAGAGAACAATTTTACCCAAAAATGAAATCTCTGTCATTTGCTCACCCTCATGTCATTTCAAACCCATAAGACTTTGGGTAATCGTCTCTAAGTTTTGGTTTCCAAGACTTTCAAAGGCGGGACAGAAACCTCTCAGGTTTTATTAGCAATATCTTAATTTGTGTTTAGAAGATTAACCAAAGTCTTATGGGTTTGGATCTACATGGTAGTATATGATGACAGAATTTTCATTTTTGGGTGATGGTGAAGTAATAATGAATTGTAAGGTTGATGAACTTTGCTAGATGCGTACAGTTTCATAGTGTAGTATGTGACAAAATGTTTCTACTTAAAAGTATGTACTCACCCATTGGCAGCAAAGTACATTATAGTATACATTTGTGCATATTATAAGAAAGCAAATTGAGATTCAGCCCAGATTCAGCTAAGAACAGTCTATTGGGAGCACTTGGACTCCACACCATCTTTAATGCTCAGATACACGGTTATATTCAGTGTCCATAAAGCATTTCAAAAGAGTGAAATCACCTTGGCGTCCATGTTAAAATGAACCTCTAAAATACACTGGTGAACTCCGGTTTTACCCAAATCCATATACTACATGTGTTTGGGAAGATGAAACAGGCATTAATCCAACTCAGGCCAACAAAAAGAATACTTAAAATAACTTGCTAAAGATCTGGCAGAGCTGTCACAAGCCACAGCATGTCAAGAATTTCACTGCTAGAGACTGTGTGGCTCTGACTGATTTAAAAGTTCAAGGCCAAGAGCTTCCACTCTATGACAAATACCACAATTCAACAGGTGCCATCACCTGGAATCAACTCATTTACACCCACCACAATCATTCACCCAATTAGCATTTTAAAACAATGAACTTTTTTATCTTGATGCTTCTGAAGTATTATGTCACAGAATCTTCTGAGGTTTAATGCCACTCTGAAAAAAATATCCATCAGTGTGAAGCTAGAAAGCAGCTGATATTATTTGGGATGTAAGCAGTTAGATTTGTACAGCAAACCATTTTAATGAATAATGAAATATTCTATCACTATGCAAGCACATTTCAAAGGCCAAATTAAAAAATGTTTAGGAAGCAAATGCAAAATTAAATAATACTAATAAAATAAAATTAAAGGGTTAGTTCACCCAAAAATGAAAATTGGCTTGTGTTTCACTCACCCTCGAAGCATACTAGGTGTATATGACTTTCTTTTTTCAGACGAATCCAGTCGGAGTTATATTAAAAATTGTCCTGGCTATTCCAAGCTCTATCATTGCAGTCAGCGGGTTTTGCAGTTGATCAGTCCACAAGTCGTCAAATAAAGCGCGCGCATTCATAATAAAACGTGCTTCACACAGCTCCGGGGGGTAAATAAAGGCCTTCTGTAGTGAATCCATGTGTTTTTGTAAGAAAAATATCCATATTTCAAACGTAATAAACACTTTTATATCACTTCCGCCAACTGTCATACGCGGAAGCCGTTCCGGCGGATGTCGTAGCACGTCGGCGTTGCGTGATTAGACAAGTCTTTAATGCTCATTAAGTCTAAATTAATTTGATTAAAAATACAGAAAATAGTAATATTGTGCTATTACAATTGTAATTTAACTTTATTACTTAATATTTAACTCTTTTCTATTGGAATAGGTTTTTAAATATCATTTATTCCTGATGGCAAAGCTGAATTGTCAGCATCATTACTCCAGTCTTCAGTGTCTCATGATCCTTCAGAAATCATTCTAATATAATGATTTGCTGCTCAAGAAACATTTAAAATTATTATTAATGTTGAAAAGAGTCGTGTTGTTTAATATTTTTGTGGAAACCATCAAAATCGAGTCTCAAGTTCACTAATGGTTGCTGCCTACATTACAAGTGAGGCTTCATGATTTGATAGAATGCTGTCTTAAAAGCCAACTTTTTTTATAATGCTTAAAATATCTGAATAATCTAGAATGACGAATTGTTCTTCATCATCTAGATAAGAGGCTATTTATGTTCGATTCAATCTGACAAATTATCTATTCAAAGCTGACAAACAGAGAAAGATGATCTTCCATGACCTCCACAAAAGAAATGATTGCCTTGAAAGGCTCTTTCCCTCACAGCTAACACTGTTCTATTTACCATATTATGGAAAAATAAGACACGGTTAAAAGATATGAACTCTGCTGACATTGGCTGTCTATCAAGTTCATTATTGGTCTTGCCAAAATCTTCCTCTCCCGCTGAGAAACACACGCCAAAAGTGTGTACAGAATCTAGCAGTCTAACGCCTACCACTCCACCCCCAGAACCATGAGTCTCACGCGGCATGCAGCTATGCATCCGTGTACACCAGCACGTAGACCTCCGTAACGGTGCTTTTGAGGGTTAAACACTTCTACAAATAACCACATTTCACTAAACATCCCCAATCACACAACTGATCCCGTCACACTTCAGGAGAGCCTCAGAAAATGGGAACTTTTTCACTCTAAATCATCTTAAGCAGATCTTCCTGGCTTTCAGATCAAAGTCGTCTGAGGCTAAACGAATCACTATAAAAGGAGTGTTTCTGTGTCTGATTAATGTCTTTCTGTCAGATTAATGATAATTAACATGTGATAGTCTATAACCATATCTCTAAAAAATAGACATTTTACTCCTAGCTACACTTCCAAACATGTTTAAGTGTTAAATTGTGCCCTACAGTCTTCTAAATAGCGATGGGCATTTTTCAAAAATGTTGTATTCGAATATTTGGGCTCATAAAAAAACGAATATTCGAATATTCGTTTATTTAAATGACGTTTAAAGAAAAAGACGTTATTTTTTTAATAATCAAGTTTTTGTCACCATTTCTGAACAAGCTTATGATTGTTGTTCTACAACAAAGTTATGTTATATTTCAAGGTTTTCTTTTAGTTGAAAAAGTCTGTAAATATATATAGCCTATAGAACAAAAGCATTCAAGCTCAAGCAGAGCAAATGGAAAAAATAAAGCAGACTGTGCCAATTACAGCACATAACATACATACACACGAGTCGGCCTATGTTTATCCTGTTTATATTGTTTCACATTTTAATGTTGAGAAAAACAATAATATCCACATGCTTGGATGAAAGTTGGCTCCTCAGTTCAATAACAATAAGAATGAGCACCGACACAGATGTTCCTGAGACACAAAGACAACGGCGTGCTAAGCAAAGTTTCTTACAGCGCTTCGTGTTTTCGGTTCTTAAACCACTCTCCCGCGAGGAAACTTAAAGGAAGAATATGTCTCAAGATCATTTGGCTATCAGATAAGCTCTCTTCTCGGCTCACTCAGGGTACAGCTGCACTTACCTGCAGTGATGGACAGCTGTCTTCCCTCAGTCGAGTTTCACTTATTCACTTGATCAAAAGTAATTCCATTTTGAAAGATCATTTAGTAAGATCATTTTGATCAAAGTAATTCCAAACTTCATGAGGCGGATGACATTCTGTGATCAAATACAATCAGATCCACAGAGCCACCCAGTGCATTTATAACTGACTTTTAGTTAGCAAGCTTAGGATTTATCATGGATTCCCTGCACTTATGGCCAGCAAAGCAACACGTAGATAAATTCGAATAGAGTTTTTATTTTTCAAATAATAATTACAGATTGAATATTCGACTATTTGGGCACACCCCTACTTGTAACTAAAGTGCACTTATATAGGCCATATACCAACCTAAGTGCAGTCAATGGGAACTGCGTTTAGGGCCACATCAATGATCCTGTCTGAGTCTACTAAAAGAGCAGCAGACAAAGAGAAATAGGTTTATTTTCAAATGATTGTTCGATTACCACAGACTATAGAGCTATAGAGCTGCTGCTCCACAAGGACCCCAGTTTGGTGTCTGACCTGGGTCATGTCCCGATCCCATTCTCCCTCTTTCACCCATACTGTCTGTCTCTATGCCACTATAGGATATTTTTAAAGAAAGGATCAAATTTATTCTTGAATTAAAATGTTTCATATTTAGTGTTATGGTTATGATTCAGAAACGATTGTTAAATATTTAAAATGTATTTATGGTGCTGCATTTATGCCCACTATTGTAAATGTATTACTTTATATACACTACTGTTCAAATGTTTGGAGGTAAGATATTTGGATGGTAAGATTTGTTAAAAGTTTATGAAAAAAGTCTCTTATGCTCAGATTAAAATAAACAATGTATTACAAATATACAAAAAATAGTGTGGTGTTCTTATAAATTGAATAATTTGCCCAGTTTGTATACTACTGTCCAAACGTTTGGGGTCAGTACGATTTTTTTTTAAATGCATTTGAAAGAGAGCTCCATTTATTTAATTAAAAATACAGTAAAAACAATCTACTATTGTGAAATATTATACAATTTTTAAATAGCTATTTTCCATTTGAATATATTTTAAAGTGTCATTTATTCCTGTGATGATAAAGCTGAATTTTCAGCCATCATTATTCCATTATTCCAGTCTTCAGTGTCACATGATCCTTAAAGAAATCATTCTGATATAATGATTTTGTGCTCAAGAAACATTTCTTATTATTATCGAATATTGAAAACAGTTGTGCTGCTTTCATTTCCACTATGAAAAAATAAATGTCTTTACTGTCCATTTCGATTATTTTAAATGGTGGTGACCAACCCAAACTTTTGAGCGGCAGTGTACATATATGGCAACATGGTGTTTGTTTTTTCTGGTTTAAATTCATACACCTAATCTAATCTCAGGTCACTCAGGAACTGGCAGAATGGACTTGGTAGGTATCGTGACAGCATCTGAACTGAAAAGGGACATAAAGCAGGTGGACGTGACCTCACCAGAGCATTGGAGGCCCTATTAAACTTTTGAAGGACTACAGTCTGTTCTGCGCTCAGCCTCTTTCCTGCCGACTCCCTCTTCAGAAGTCTCCTAATCCTCGCCGTGGGCTTCCGCTTGGGCCGTAGACGCATGTGATGATTGCCCAGTTGTCGCCACTGGAAACAGAAGGGGCAGATCATAGACACCGGCAGGGTAGCCGCTGGAATGGAGAGAGAAATATAGTGGAGGTTTTTGGCATGGCAACTAGTTCAAATAAAACAGGTGATGCTATGCTCTATTCTGGGGATGGTTTGGCATTTTGGACTTTGGAATATAGCTTTTCCAATATGTGGTCATCCCACCCCTCTGTCGGGCTGTCTTTGAGGTTTGTGAAGGCAATAGAAATGGATTCTAGTTTTACATCAGGAAATGTGGTCGGACTTAATGGGTTTAACTTGGGTTACCGTTCCTTTTCAAAACCAACTGTCTGTTCTGTTGCCTACAAGGACTTATAGACTTGGTTGGGACTATATTAAAACAAGCACTTTAAAATGCCATACGAGTCTATTAATATAAATAACAAAGCTGAAACTTACCAATGCTCTGATGCCTTTGCCTGTAATAAAAAAGCAGTAAAAGAGTTAGTCTTTAAATCTCAGACTTTACAGGAGTTAGACTGAAATATGGCAGCTTATGAATCATTTATGAGCTTGCAAGAGGTCTTGCACCCAATCTGATGAAGTAACACAGCGCTTTGTTTAGATCTTATAGATTCCTACATGCAGGGTGAAAACTCTGCAATAGACTATGCATAAAAAAAGATATTTTTCTCACTACCCAATGCTGCTAATCCCATTGCGTATCCCAATGCTGATATGCTCAATATTCTGTCAAATGCTAAAAAAAATTGTATTATTCCCAGGAAGCCTCAGTAAGAATTACAACGTGATTCCTTAAAACAAATCCACTGAGGTCAAAGTGCTGTACAGACAGCCTGTCAGTGGCCTGAACTCATGGCCACGACTTCCCAGGAGCTTTAATACTTTTTGAGACTTTGTGTGTGTGCACCTTATTTTTTAAAATGGTGCTGTTTTGCCTACCTCCTTTATCTAAGATTCATAATCCTGTCTAAAATTAGTTCACATTGCTAAAAGCTGCTTGTTGTTATTGTGTGGCACGTGCATGTTAAGGGGGGCAGGGTTTTTAAAGGGTTAGTTCACCCAAAAATGAAAATTAGCCTGTGTTTTACTCACCCTCGAAGCATCAATTTGAACAAATTTGCTAAATTGCATTATAGGTTGTTTTGTTTCATTTTAATTATTTATTTGCCTTTTGAAATAAGAAAAATCACGAAGCACCTCTTTTATTTTTTTGTTTGTTTGATTTCATTTATTTACAAGTCTTGTTTAATTTTATTATTTACTTTATTTCTTTGTTTAATTCATTTATTTTATTATTTTGTTTGTTTTGTTACTGAGATTTTTATTTATTTAATTGTTTTGTTTTGTTTTGTTTAATTGCATTAAAGCTTTTTTAATTCCAAAAGGATGTTTTATTTTATTTTAATTATTTGCCTTTTTGACTGAAAGAAAAAAAAATACACAAAGCACATTTACTTATTATTGTTACAATTTCAGAAATTTGTTTGATTTGACTATTTTCTTTCTTTTATTTATACATAAATAAAGAAAATTTAGGAAACAACCACCCAGCACTGCCACTGCCTACTAAAGGCATGACTTCTTCCCTGTGGTACACTAATTAAAATAATTTACTTATTAATAATGCAGCTCCTTTTAAGTGCTCTCAGAACAAAGATAAAGAACCCACTGTCTCAGCATGATAATATCAACAAAGACTAAACTCTTGCTAAATCACCTGAGATAAAATCATGAAAGAGAATAATGCGCCCATTACAGTTCACTGAATACTCCAGTGGACACAACAGCTTATCCATTCCCTATCGATGAGCCTGGCGGCAAAAGTCTGTGCCTTACAATGACACCTGTGGAAGATATTAAGAGTGAGCTTAACACAAGCGGTTTAAATAAGAACCCAACAGTCTGAGCACTTCATCAAGAAAGAATCTCATCATGGCACGCATACATTCAGACAAAAGATTCCAGTAACGTACATGTACGCCGTGAGTCAGTGCAGATGTACCCTGTACTCGCTGAGCACAAGCCAACTAACGCTCAAAGCATGCAGTGCGCTGACCCTGAACATGGGGTTGTGAAACATTTAATCCAAGAAAAACATGCCACAACCTGAGGCTAAGCATCATTTATCTTCACTCACTCTGCTGCTAGTACTATCCAAAACATCATGTGTCATAGCAGCTTGAAAAATGTTAAATAAAGCGAGAATCTTCAGCAAATCTTTACCAGACTCACTTTTACTTGCCTTTACACCCTTTCATGCGACACAGAAGATATAGTTGATTTAGCTGCTCTGGAAATGAACAGATGACGCTTATGATGCTATCTAGATTACACTAATTAACAACTACTCAATAAATGGTTAACAGGTACTGCAATATTTATTATTAGTTATTAATAATTAAATAAATATAATAATTTTTTTTTTTACATTCATTCTTATTATTAGTATTATTATATTGATAATAATAATTAGTATTATTATAAATCATTAAAAACTTATTATAACTGAAGCTGTAATGCTGTTAATTTGGATTTGATTGTTACACTAAAACACATTTTAAGCATTTTAAAACTGGTTTCATTCACATATGTGGTGGTTGATCAATATGAGTTTTTCAACAGAGATCAGACATTCTCCATCCACTTTCAATATTAAAAGGAAGAAGTGTTTAATGATGATTAACCACAGTAAACAAAAACTGTAAAATGACCAACACACTGTTTAGCTGATGAGATTTGAGTGCACGTGATTTTTGCGTGAGATGCCCATTGTGATGGTGCATTTCTGATATTGGTGCTATTATATCCACACATTCGTAAATATGATGACTTGAACTGCACTTGTGCTGTTGAGAAAATCACTAAAACATTTTAAACACTATATGAGATAGCCATAAAGTTTACTGAAGATTTAATAAAGAAATCACAAAGAAAGTAACTATAAATCTCAGTAGGGAGCCATTATTTATTCTCTAAAGAACAGCACCCAACAATACCATTAATGTGACTATTCAGCAGGAAATAAAAGGTACTACATTTTTTCAAGCACTGTTTGCATAAATTGTGCTTTTAAATAGCAGCAATTTATTCTCAAGTGAGAAAAGTGCATCATTTTAGGTTTAACAATTAGATATAGACCAAAACACAGATAAAAAATAAATTCAAATGACCATTAAGACTGTAAAACAATGTTGCACATTATTAACAACAACAATGATAGAAACAATAACAATAACCATTATGTTTATTTACAATAACAATAATAACCATTATTATTATTATATAATATTACTGTTGTTGTTATAAACAATATAAAAACAAGACTGTTTTATTGCTATTATTGTCATCAAGACATTGATCAGACATAGTACATTTTCACTGTTGTAGCCCTATAGCCTATATTTTATTTATTGTGTCAAAAAGCAGACAATAAAAATGGTTTTGCATATCAGTTATCTGACCTAAAAATAAAGAATAATGGTCATAAAACTAAATGTCTAAACTAAATGTCTTCAAATGTAACACAAAGTGCATTATAAAGTGTTAAATTGGAGGAGCCTGTCATCTACTGGTAACTTCGTGGCATTACAGCAGAAAGCATGGCGAGCAGTGCGGAACAGCATGTTCAAAATCCACACAGATCACGAGCCGTATAATATGTACAGTTGATGAAAATTGAAACGTACTTACATAAGAAAGCGCGACTGTTCAGGGCAAATGTCTTTGTAAAGTAGAGAAGCCTTAAATAAGAACCTCTGGGTCATCGCGTCTGCTTTAACAGCCAAACTTTTGTGATAAACATCCCAGCGTGCAAACTTACAACAAATGCGGCCTTAGCAGATAATTGTGATCGATAATAAAAGAGTGTGAGTCTTGCTCCAGCGTGACTACAGGAAATACCCGAGTCTTTACTTTAAAATGACCCACAATACCTCAATGCGAGCGAGGAATTATGGGAATGTGAGTTTTTTTTTACAACCAGCACTATACGCAGGACCCCAGTCATTGACTGCTCCAATAAAGCCCTGATAACGACACACAATGTCCTTTATTTACACTGTAGCTATTGCTGAGGGAGTTTGTCTCATCCAGTGCTACACACTGTATTTACATCCACAACAGCACTATCATTTTAGTGAAAGTTACTCATGATCAGGATGTTACACCATTTTTTTTACTACTGCAGACCATCATTAAATATATATAGGCTACTACCAAATAGGCCTATAACTATAATATAACTACATAATGTTATATATTCCAAGGTGAGCATGTAAGAGGCTCTTATGCCATTTGTTTCATTTGTCTGCCGTTTTGCTAATGCTACAGTAATAAGGGCTTAAAGGGGTCATATGATGCTGCTAAAAAGAACATTATTTTGTGTATTTGGTGTAATGAAATGTGTTTATGCGGTTTAAAGTTAAAAAAACACATTATTTTCCACAAACTGTACATTATTGTTTCTCCTCTATGCCAATCAAATACACTTGCTGTGAAACAAGTAACAATATAGGCTAAGTAAAAACAGTAATCTCCATCCACAGAGATTGCACTAAAATATCAAGGTCAAGATCTTTAAGAATAATCCTAATTTTAATCACAATCATAACCATAACCATAGTCATAATAAATTATTAGAATTGTATTAACAATAATACTATGTAATATAATATATTGATATTATATTGTATTGATTGTTATTTTATATAAACAAATAATAAACAATACAATATATATATACAATATATATATATATATATATATATATTATATTATAACAATTAATTTTAACATTAATTAAAGATCTTCATTTATTTTGACAAATAATAATATTAATAATAATCATCATCATCATTGTATAATAATAATAATACAATAATAATAATAATATAATGTAATATAATATAATATAAAGTAATAGTCATTATTGTCATTATTAATATGATTATTACTTGTAAAAAATAATAAAAAAAATAAAATAAAATAAAACTCCGCGAAATATTCAGTTATATGAGTAGTGAAGCAAGATTGATTGTTTCAGAGATTGTTTTCTCCATCACTGTCGAGGGACTTAAACAACCAATTTAACATCTCACGAGAACGGACTCCTCCTGGTCCGTTTGCGGCATCGCTTCTCTCAGATTACAGAAAGGAAATCATCATCATCATCATCATCATCATCACGCGGACTCAGATGGCTCGAGGCGCTGCGTCGATGAAATTGGATATTTAAGGCAGAGCAGAAAGCAGTTCGCGTTCACTCTCAGCGGGCGCGCGGCCAGAGAGGCAGAGGGGGTAGACGCGCGCTCTGCAATTGACTGACAAATAATATGAGACTACAGTGTTGTGAACGAGGCTTCATATAACGTTACCGGGAAGAGAACAAGGCACGGACTCAATGAGTCCTCGTTCAACGCGGAAGCTTTTCGAGGAGGACGGTGGATGACCGCGAGCGCTCACTTCAGCGCGCGTTACCAGTGCGTCAGAGGAGCGCGTGGCGCTGAACTCCAGCTGCAGGTAGGTGCATACAGAACTCGCACTTTTTTATCGTAACTAAACGTTTAATTGTGCTGCTACTAACTGTTTATTTGTCCTTTGTGAATATCCGTTTGTTATTATTATCACCACCCCCATTTCTTTCATTATTCTTTATGTATGGTGGAATTAGGCGATGACTGTTTTTATGTAGATTTTGGCAGCAACCAGCAAACGTTTTCCATTTATTTGCTGCAAAATGGTTCCTTTTTAGCTTCATTTCTCAGTTTGATATTAGTTAGTATTTTCAGCAGATATCACTACAATCCATAATAGATTTAGTAATGAATTTCTTGATTACCCTGCTGTCCTTGAACATGTGTTATTTGCATATGATGCAGACATTTGGCATGGGCTTGCTTGACTTTGCTTATTGGAGCTCAAAACGTTGCATGTTACAGACTGCAAAACTATATGCGGGAGGGTTTGTGCCCCCTAATGTTGTTCTGGCTCGATCAACCATGCCTTTTTAAGTGAAGGAACCCACTTGTAGTGGCGAATAAAGCCATTCCCTATTCACAGGTCCAAAATCTTGAGGGGGATGAAGTGTGCTGTCAGCATACTGGAAACGCTAAACCGGCTTGTAGGAGGCAGAGAGCTGAGTGAGTCTCTCAAAGAATATGTAATGCAACACCATCTCTGATTCTGCTGAGACCTGCGAATGAAGGCTTAGGAGGTGCAGAGGTCCGTGTGAGCCACTCTGTTAAAACTTTCAGTCCTCTTATAGTCCTGTCTCTGCACCCAAATGTAGATGTAAAGTGCACACATTGCTTGGCAAAATGACAGATGCATAGAGAGCAGGGAGTGAATTGGCACATAATACGTCGCTGTTTTACTTGTCATATCATGCAGAAACGATTTTAAAAGCCTCTAGATAGTTGAATTTTTTCAACTCATTTACTTTTGACAATGAAGAAAATAAACAATTTATTGAAGCCCTGGCTTTTCATCCGTATTGAAATCAAAATGTGTTCCCTTGCTCTATTCAATCCCGCGATCTGTCAACAGGACAAGAATAGAAGTCAGCATTAAAGCTGGAAAGTTAAAGTGTGGAAAGAACATTTCTTTCATTTAAAAATTTTGGTACAGACTTAAATTAAAAGACTTATTTCTGAAGAAATAAAATACAGTACTGTAAAAAAAAAAACACTTCATCAGGGTAAGACACTAAAATTCTGCAATAAAGAGTAGCTAAATATAGAACGTAACAAAAACATCTCCTTAGAAATATAGAAGCATTAATATTTAATATAGCCTAATCAAGTATGATGCATAGCAATGCCTTCTGGGAATGTTTTTTTTTTTTTAGAGTTTTTACTGCAAATTTTATTTACAAACATACTTTTGAATAATATTTTAAATGTGAATTGTAAATTAAATTCTTAAGCTTCCAAAAATCTTTTTTTGCTTTATATGGTAAAGTAACTTACACTTATTCAATTAACACATTTTTACTATAACTTTTTTTTCTGTTAAAATAATGAACATTTTTCAGAAAGGAAGCAAAGTGGGAGAGAAATGTGCATGGGGGCGAGATCAGAAAGGACCATGAGCCAGGATTCAAAGTCTGGTCGCCCCGAGTCTCAGCTCTGCTTGCAAAGCTTTTATTTCCACCATAACAAACAAGTTTACAGTGATTTTTTAACTCTTTAGAAATACCTTTATCTAAATACCATGATTCCTTTATTTTTATCATGTTCTTTTTTTTTTTTTCTTTAATTTCATCAAGAGGTTTTCACCTTAAAAAATTGTGCACGCATAACTATTCACCCAAATGGTGCCATTGCCCTGGCCTCCGAAACAAATGGTTTGTAAAGAGAAAAAGAAGTTCTTCAGATGTGCATCTCAAGGGACAACAGTGCTACTGTGACAGTGAAGAGAAAACTGCAGTGAGTAACAGTCTAGCAGCTCTATAGATGTTATGAAGGGTAGAATGGTTTCTGAAAAGAAAAAACAACACTCATGATACTGATGTTATTTTCCTTTTACTCAAGACTCTTCAAAACCACTAGAACATTTCTGAGGAAGGTAATTAATTGTACGGTATATGCCGCAGCTAGCGAACCTATTGAACCTCATCAAGAATGGTTTCAACCACGAAGAGATCGGTCTCGAACCGTGAGATGCCTTGTCCCAGGTTGCCCAGCATAATCAGTTTGTAGCAAATACAGATTTCTTCAAAGAGATAATAATGGTTGACTCTACAGAGATGTAACATGCTTTTCAAATACACTTCTTCTCAAAGTTGAACTTTGATCATAATTCATAATACCAGTTGAAAAGCAAAGCAAGTTCTGACATATCGCAGTGTGGTATTTGACAGCATTTCATTCAGTTTCCGTGATCAAATTGATTTAATAAGGCCCTGTTTACTATGATTACAACAGAATGTGTCCAATTTGACTGCCCTGCAAATTAGTTCTCACCAGGCGGCCCTACGCTTCCCCTGGATCTGATTGATACCGTTCCTGTCACTTGACATTGCAGGATGGCTGAGCCTGGTACAGAAAAAGGATGTTTGTTGGCCTGCGGATTGCAGTGGGCTTTTTGAAAACTGGACATCCATTGTTTTGCGCACAGGAAGAACTGTAGAGCCATTTGTTGTGGGACCAAGCACAATGGACCCTCATACTGACCCCAAGGTCACTGCCCACAGCTCTATGTCGGCTTTTTAATACAGGAAGGGGTCTTTAAAGTGTGTTTCTGCACATTGATATCGTCCTAAACCCTTCTCTGTGGAATTTGGCTATTGTTTTGGTGAGTACAGTACACCATTGTGATCTTGAAGGAGGCAATAGGCACTTACAAGGCAGAACACGTATATGTTTCATTCTTTGCTGTCACTGTGTAAGTGGTTCTCATTAGCTTACATCAATTCTTTAATTACAGTTTTCATTAATCGCCCACAGCTCCCTCAGCAAACCATGACTCGTTTAAATCCATTTCATTGAGGCACTGATAAAAAGCAATTCAGGTAAGCAAAGAAATAAATGCCTAAATAGATGGCCTACTTTTTTCTTAAAAATAACTCAGCTTTATTGTGAGACAAAAGTATGATTTCAATTCAACACTACTTTTTGACATTTCCTTTTCCCCCGGGTGCCATAATTCACGCTCAGATCAACTGAAGAACGATCTCTATATATACATATATTTTTTGCATTAGACAGGGTATTCATTTTTTTATTAGAGTACTTTTTCCTCTGCAATGCCAAACCGTGTTCCACAGAACACATCCAGACTCTCTCAGGTCCGTATTATCTGATCGGGTTCAGACTGAATTTCAACATTTTGTCAGCATGTAAGTTTTTCCTGCCAGCTCTTCTTTCAGTTCACCTTGCTGGGTCGTCCTTGGACTGACTGCTAAAGCGTCATGTAGTGCGTCTCCCTGCAGTTTCAGAAGTAGG